TAGGTCTTATATTTTAGCAATACCCAAAAATAGTACTAGGTCTTATTTTTGGGGTAGGTCTTATTTTCGGGGAAACAGGGTATAGGAAATGTATACTCACCCCTTCAACATGCCTTCCTTCATTGTCACCACAGCAAGACACCTCTTCTAATAATGCCGTGCTCAGGCCTACCCAATTGCTGGACCCAAACAATGTCACAAGATAGAGGTTGGCTGGTAATGCAGGGCGTAAAGTAGCTTTCTGCTGTCAGATACCCATTGGACATCATAAACCAGGAGCACATGATGCAGACTGCCTACTGTTTTTGCCTGTGACCTAGCAATAAGAAATGTCCAGGTCATAATGACTACAGAAAGGGGTCCCAGCACATCTAACATAAAAGGGTCCCCTAGTCCCAGAGGATCCTTGCAGCTACAAAGTCTGACCAAATTGCATGCCCGCCTCTGGTGCATAACTAGAAACAATATATTTCCATTCCATGCTAGGAAAAACCAAGCACCACATACCACAGATGATGACAAATCCATTGGCATCTACCAAATAATTGTTTGCTTTATGACAAAGGCATGAGTGAGCTTATAGACTGGGGGGGAAAAAATAAATCCTGATGTGCACAAACCATTAAAAAAAAAATCATACTCTCCTTGCAGATATAAAGTTCCATCGAGCGCAGAAAGCGTTAATCATTTTTGACAATGAAAAGAAATGCACTGAACCAAACACTAATGACTTCACCTCCCTCTCACCACGTTGCTTCATACACCTCCACGTGCATTAATATACTGCTTGTCTGCACAACATTCCACATTACAAAGCACCTCGGGTCAAGAATTCTGACAACATAGCCCCACCACAGGAGAGATACCTGCCTGATGACACGCAGTGCAAAAATTGCCGGCGCTTCCAGAATCGACACAGTTAACAGCATTAATGCCACATAAGCCCCTTTGACACAAGAGGATAGCAAAATCAACCTTGGACCGGAATCACAAAGCAGCCAACATACCCCGAGTGAGAAACATACAAAATCCTTTCATCCTATTTATTAAGTAGTATATAAGTAATGCAGCTTGTCCCATACAGCCACTTGCAAGTTCTGTATGGAGGATTATCCGCTAATTAAATTTGGACAAAACGAGCGGCGCCCAGCTAACATCCTACGTCGGCACAGCCTTCTATACATTATGTACATTGCACACAGCGCACGGCTATGAACAGCCTTGCTCAGCAAGCCGTGTACTGCAATTTTTCTTGAACAGATGGCCTATAAAGAAACCACTCTCAAGTACAATAACTTGGCATGGTAGCGAGAAGAAAAAGGATGAAAAAAAACACACACACACTCCTAGAACTTAAACAAGCGAAAGGATGTTCTCGCAGGAGAGACTGCCGTGCAGATGACTTTTGCCAAACTAAAGAAACGTAATAATGACGCAGTAAACAATATACAATAAAAATAACAGGACGGCCTAAAAGACAAAGAAAAAAGGCTCTGAAGTTGTTCTAGAAAAGACACAGAATAAAGCAGACAAAGCTTGCTTGGCATAACACGCTCTATAGATTGTATTGCTCAACAACTGCTCCAATCTCAGGAGTATGAAAACAGATTTATCAGAACTGAGGGCCCTGTCACACCATCGAGAGTGCATTCGGCCTCTGGAACGCAAACCGGCCAGCTCACTTTGTTTTGGGGAGGGAGGCAGCGTGGTGGTGCATTGAACTAAATGGCATCGCAGCTGCAGCCAGGCACCCAAACGCGTGGCACATTAGTGCCTGCGTTTCAGGTCCAGTGCGATCTGCACAAAATAGGGCATGCTGCAGTTTTCCACATGCTCTGGAACTGAACATGTGGTGGGAACTACAGCCCAAAATATCATTGGAATACATTGGATGCGTTCTGTAACTGCTCCGCACTTGGTGTGAACAAGCCCTAAGGCGTTCTGTGACCTCGCAGCAATCGTGCACAAAACCGCACTGGCGGAATCGCACACCACCGCTACTTCTTTTATAATGGCACCCCAGTCGTGACAGGCAGATCAGGTACCTTTTTTTCAGCGATTGCTGAGCAGATATAACCCCATTCAAACCAACGAGGCTCCATGGCAACTGCTGTGCGCGTCCCGGGATCTCCCAGGTGTGAACCTGGCCACGACCACTGAAGTCCTGGCTGTGCGTTGGCAGGATGAACACATGTACCTGGCACGCAGGCTAGTTCACGTATTGTACCAGCAAGGCATAGGCTATGACCCCTCCCAAAGGCAGAGGTAGGCAACATTAGCACTCCAGCTGATGAGGAACTACAAGTCCCATGGGGCACTACAAGACTGACAGCCACAGACGTGACTCACAGAGATATGATGGGATTTGTAGTCTCACCACAGCTGGAGTACTGAGGTTGCCTAACTCTGGAATAGGGTTTGCCTGATATTAGTAACATAAGACAAAAAGAGATTTACAATGCAGACATTATTTGCCACCATCACCAGCTCTACAATCTGCCAGACATGGGCTGATTTGTCACCAGTACATCCCAGAGTGCTCAAACCTTCCTGTACTGGAGAGAGACTGGAAACGAATGTCACAGAATGATGAAAATCGGTCATATTTGATGGAGAGAAAAAGAACCTCATTCATACATTTCAGTCCACAGCCAGCAGACATGTCGGTCCTACCTGGCTCCTGGGATTGGTCCAGCCCCGGCCTATGGAAACATTGACTTCCAGGAAGTCAGCATTTGCAGAGGAGAGGTGGCAGAGTGCTGGGGTGCAGCAAGAAAGCATGTAGTCAAGAACCAGCTGCACTCCTTACCGGAATAGTAGTAAACCTGCCAAGCAGGTGGGTGCTTGTAGTGACCACGGACGGCCCCGTGAACAATGCAGATCTAGAAAGGATTGTCACCAGCACACCAAACGTTTTGAAGCAAAAAGTCCTTTATTGACAAATCGCCATCCAATACAAGCGCTTTCGGGGTCCCAGCAGTACCCCTTCATCAGGCTCAGAATGAAGGGGTACTGCTGAGACCCCGAAAGCGCTTGTATTGGATGGCGATTTGTCAGCAAGAAAGCAGACACGCATGAAGGCACCTGCCGTGTTGGGTTTTTGTGACACTAGAGGGTTCCTTTAAATGGGATTCAGGTTTTAGGGCGCAGACATTTTTAGAAAATGAACCTAAAAGAGGAACATCTTGGTGCTCCGTTATTATTGAGGGCCCAGTCACACCACATCATCTCCAGACCAGACTGTTTCCGGACCCAAAATGCATCCCAATGTAGCCCTATGCTATTTCTGGCCTCTGTTCACACCAGCGCAGTCTGTTCCAGACCAGACCAGAAAAATATTGCACGTCTAATTTGGTCTGGTCTGGAATACACTGGAACTGCGGACAGGTTCACACCATTTTCCAGATGAGATCTGGAGTAGATCTGGTCCAGAAAATGGTGTGAAGCTGCCCTCAGCGTCTTGTTTATGAAGTATGAGCCACCCTGAACATCAAAAGCTGACACTCAAATGGCACAGCAACAGAGGAGAAATCTTCCAGTGAAATCCTGAATAGAGGAAACCTGTTCCGGGGACTGATAACAGGGAAATTCCCTTCACTTTGGGAGACTTCCTCTCACTTCCTGTTGCATCTTTAGGACAGGACATACAGGGAAATGTTCCCAATGGCACACAAGCAATAACAATGACCTGACTGGATTATTGACTCTTCCCTCTGCAAATGGTTGTGGTGTCTATGGACTGGGGGTGATGTGATAATGATCGCCGGCTCTCCAGCAGAGCTTCCTGGGGTGTACCAGTCAGGTCCTGTCAGGTCCAGGGGCCCTCCTGTCTACCAAACTGAACCCCACACAGGATGAAGTCTGTGATAGAGACCAGAGATTACACTGCTAGGGGGAGGGCAGGAAACAGGGGCCCTGAGAGCACACTATGGGGCCCAATTATACCCTGCCCGTAATATAATGGCACACACTATGGGGCCCCCCAGCTATGCATCCTCCATAATATGACACAGACTATGGGGCCCCAGCTATACATCCTCCATAATACAATCACACACACACTATGGGGCCCCAGCTATACATCCTCCATAATACAATCACACACACTATGGGGCCCCCCAGCTATGCATCCTCCATAATACAATCACACACACTATGGGGCCCCCCAGCTATGCATCCTCCATAATACAATCACACACACTATGGGGCCCCATCTATGCATCCTCCATAATATAATCAAGGGGAGGAGGTGCGGCGCACAGCGTGTGGAGCCGTGAACAGGGCCAACTGATCGGAAGCCGATTAATCGATTATTGAAAAAGTTGACAACTTTTTCAATAATCGATTATAATCGATTATGTCGATTAGTTGTTGCAGCCCTACATAATACAATCACACACTATGTGGCCCCAGCTATGCATCCTCCATAATACAAATGACACACTATAGGGCCCCAGCTATACATCCTCCATAATACAATGACACACACTATGGGGCCCCAGCTATACATCCTCCATAATACAATCACACACTATAGGGCCCCAGCTATACACCCTCCATAATACAATGGCACACACTATGTGGCCCCAGCTATGCACCCTCCATAATACAATGACACACACTATGGGGCCCCAGCTATGCATCCTCCATAATACAATGACACACACTATGGGGCCCCAGCTATACACGCTCCATAATACAATGACATACACTATGGGATCCCATGAATACACTCCCAGGAGTGGGAGTAGGGGCCCAGCTATGGTGGCCAGCAGGGGGCGGTGTCCAGGTGACAGGTATGACAGAGCAGGTGACGGGGGCACACAGGGACAGGGCGGGGGAGGAATGTGTAGGACACAGGAAGTGTGACAGGTATGAAGGGAAGACTGCGTCCGCATTGTTTCTCCTCCCCGGGAACTTCTCTCACTTAGCACTACGAAGAGTTAAGCGGTGGTGCCCCCTTCCCCCCACCGGCACCCCTCTTTTACCCTCTCACTTACCGCGTGCTCAGCCGACACCCCGTGGAAAGCCGGACTCCCCGTGCGCTTCCTAGAAAGCCCCCCGCGGACAGAGACTGCGGTCGCCCGCCACACTGACCACTATGAGGAAGTCAACACGCAGCCGCCTGAGACTACAGGCAGCCCGCCCCCGACCGCCGCGTCAAGGAGTCCGCCACGCCCACCTGCGACGCTTCGCTGCCCTACAGACACACCCCTCCACCCCCTGAAACCCGCCTTGCAAGCACGCCCTCTCAACAGGCGTGTCACAACCTACGGTCCTGCCCATCAGCGGTGATGTCATTGTCTGCTCTCCAGCTGGCTGGCTGCAACCTTCCGCATTTCCACCAATCTTAATCTTTGCCAGCCTCGTCACGTGATGCCTTGCACCGGCCTGTACTACGTAGTATTAAAGAACGTATATGGCCAGACATCGGTTTACAGTCGGTACTTCCGGGTGTCTAATGTGATTACAGCTCGTACCGTATAGTAACGATGACCGGGCTGGGGCGTGTTCAGGTGTGCGGGGAAATGTCAGCCTTGTGTGTGAGGGGGGATGTGCAGAGCGTTGTGTTCTCTCGGTGTGCAGCTGAACTCCCAGTGCTGGTATGGAGTTCATTACTAACTGCTATGAATTCCTCGGTAGGCAGGGTGACTTCAGTGCGTGCAAACAGAAATGGCCGCGCTCAATGGTAGAATAGTGCTCTACTGTTTGGCATTAATCACATTGCATCATTGGTGACAGTGGAAGGAATGACGCCCCATTCTTGGAATCAATGGTAGCAATGATGTCCCATTCATGACTCTCCATTCTTAGCGTCAATGAATGGAATGATGCCCTACCATTGGAGTCTGTGGAAGCAATGACCCCCCCCTATTCTTGGTGTCAGTGGAAGCAATGGCACCCCATCATTGGCGTCAGTGAAAGCAATGGCGCCCCATCATTGGTGTCAGTGAAAGCAATGGCGCCCCATCATTGGCTTCAGTGGTAGCAATGATGCCCCATCCTTGGCATCAGTGGAAGCAATGACGCCCAGTCTTTGGCGTCAGTGGAAGCAATAACTCCACATCATTGGCGTCAGTGGAAGCAATGACGCTCCATCCTTGGCATCAGTGGAACCAATGATGCCCTATCTTTGGCGCTAGTGGAAGCAATGACGCCCCATTATTGACGTCAGTGGAAGGAATGACGCCCCATCTTTGGCGTCAGAGGAAGCAATGACACCCCATCATTGACATCAGTGGAAAGAATGACGCCCCATCATTGGCCTCAGTGGAAGCAATGACGCTCCACCGTTGGCGTCCGTGGAAGCAATAACGCCCCATCATTGACGTCAGTGGAAGCAATAACGCCATATCATTGGCGTTGGTGGAAGCAATGACACCCCATCATTGGCTTCAGTGGAAGGAATGATGCTCAATCCTTGGCATCGGTGGAAGCAATGATGCCTATCTTTGGCGTTAGTGGAAGCAATGACGCCCCATCATTGGCGTCAGTGGAAGCAATGACGCTCCATCCTTGGCATCAGTGGAAGCAATGATGCCCTATCTTTGGCGTTAGTGGAAGCAATGACGCCCCATCATTGACGTCAGTGAAAACAATGACGCCCCATCATTGGCGTCAGTGGAAGCAATGGCGCCCCATCATTGGCATCAGTGGAAACAATGGCGCCCCATCATTGGCGTCAGTGGAAGCAATGGCGCCCCATCATTGGCGTCAGTGGAAGCAATGACACCCCATCATTGACGTCAGTGGAAAGAATGACGCCCCATCATTGGCCTCAGTGGAAGCAATGACGCCCCATCATTGGCGTCAGTGAAAACAATGATGCCCCATCTTTGGCGTCAGTGGAAGCAATGACACCCCATCATTGATGTCAGTGGAAAGAACGACGCCCCATCATTGGCCTCAGTGGAAGCAATGGGGCCCCATCATTGACGTCAGTGGAAGCAATGGCGCCCCATCATTGGCGTCAGTGAAAGCAATGACGCTCCATCGTTGGCGTCCGTGGAAGCAATAACGCCCCATCATTGACTTCAGTGGAAGCAATAACGCCATATCATTGGCGTTAGTGGAAGCAATGACACCCCATCATTGGTGTCAGTGGAAGCAATGACACCCCATCATTGGTGTCAGTGGAAGCAATGACACCCCATCAGTGGAAGGAATGACACCCCATCATTGGCCTCAGTGGGAGCAATGACGTTCCATTCTTGGTGTCCATGGAAGCAATGACACCCCTTCATTGGACGCAATGACGCCCCATCAGTGGAAGCAATTACGCCGTATCATTGGCGTTAGTGGAAGCAATGACACCCAATCATTGTTGTCAGTGGAACTAATGACGCTCCATCCTTGGAATCAGTGGAAGGAATGATGCCCCATCATTGGCATCAGTGGAAGCAATGATGCCCCATCCAGGGCGTCAGTGGCCCCAATGACGCTCCATCATTGACGTCAGTGGAAGGAATGAGGCCACATCATTGGTGTCAGTGGAAGGAATGATGCCCGTCCTTGGCATCAGTGAAAGGAATGACACCCCATCATTGGAGTGAGTGGATTGGATAGCACCCCATCAATTGGGATCGCTGACATGAATGATGCCCCATCATTGGCATTACATTGTTTACTATTGCATTGTTGGCTTCAGTGGGACTAATGGCACAACTGGTGTTAGTGAGAGGGATGGTGCCTCATCTTTGGGGCTGTTGGCACCCCATCATTGAGGATAGTGTAATAAACTGTACCCCATTGTTAGCATCAGTGAGAAGATTGGTGCCCCATCATTTGCATCAATGAAAGTGTTAGTGCCCTGTTGTTTCAGTCAGTAAGAGAAAAGCTACCCTATTGTTTGTTAGTAGGAATGGTGCCCCATCATCAGTATACAATGAGAACCTAAACAGTCTGTTCAATTTCAGTTAGGCGTTCATACTACATAGTTGGTAACACTGAAGGTGATTGTCCAGTCATTTTGTTACATGTCACAGTTAAAGTGAATCTGACATAAAACATTTCCAAGGTATGAACAGTGCTGACATTACTTGTGTTTGTTATCTAACCTATCTCTATTGAGCCATCTTGGTTCCTATGCACAAGCTAGACTGTGTGCCTGGATATTCGCCCATGTCAAAATAAAAGATACTTTGTTGCCTTTTTTAAAATGGGGGGAAAATCCTGAAAAAGAAGACCATTTATACTTGCCTATCTCGCCACCTGTTTCAAGAATCTTCACTCTCAGAGCAAAGCTGCTAGCTGAATCTTCACATCTGACATGCTTAAGAGTGCTGGTTGACTATGTCCCCTGCTTCGCACTGCGGTTCCATCTTGTGACCCCTATGTGACTATTGTGTAACTTGGCCGGTTGGTGAGGAAAACATCTCTTCATGAACACACGCGTGTGTGGGCACGGTCATTGGGTGGGTTTAGAGGTTTTTGGAGAAGGTGTCAGGATCTGGTTTGTGACCACTGAAGTTCTCCCTACTTTGGGAGACATGTTTGTTCTGGATGAACGATTCAGATGAAGCATTTTCAGAAAAAGATCAGCAATTGCAGCTTCCATATTCCTTTTCAATGTTTCCTTTTGACAGGGTAATATTTCTCATTTCTTAAAATCTCATATCATCTTTAACATGGAATTTAAAAGCCATCCAGCAGCTTCTATTACAATAATACCTGGTGATCCTGCTATGAAGATCCTTTTTTAGACTCTTCATGTTACAGGGTAACAGCACTCTGTGTCTCCAGGTCCAGTGTCTACACGGTAACAATACCCCGTGTCTGTGTCTCCCAATTGCTTTTCTGTGTTATCATCCCGTGCTTTCGGTGGAGACTGAAAACAGCTGTGCCAATGTCCTTTGCACAGGCATTGTCCACCATCGTCAACATCAGGAAACATTCTTGGAGCAATGACATACAGACATCACTGGAGCAAGTACATGCAGACAGGAAGTGACTGAAAGAGGACAGAGGTGATCAAATGGAATATAAAAAAAAGGTGAAAACAGTATTTTCTAAAAGAGAAGAAAAAATGCTATAGTTTCTTATAGACAGTGCTTTAGCAAGCTAAATATTAACCTCTTGCCGTCCGCCCGTAGTAGAAAAACGGACGGACGGCACTGCTGCATCTGCGGGTTGCCGTCTCCAGACGGCAATTTTTTTCTGCTCGCGCGCGCCCCCTAGCGGGCACGCACGGGCAGAAAAGACCCGACAATGCACACACCCGGTACCGGGTGTCACACATATAGGCGATCAGCGGGTCCATAGCCC